CACTATTAGGAGGTGTGGCCTTGTTGGAGGAAGTGTGTCACTGTGGGGGTGGGCTTTGGGGTCTCCTATGCTCAAGCTACACCCAGTGACACTGACCACTTCCTGTTGCCTGCATATCAAGGTGTAAAACTCTCAGCTCCTCCAGCACCATGTCTGCCTGCACGCTGCCATGTCCCACCATGATGATAATGGACTAAACCTCTGAAACTGGGAGCCTCCACCCCAGTTAAATGTTTTCTTTCTAAGAGTTGCCGTAGTTATGGTGTCTCTTCATAGCAATAGAAACTTTAACTAAAACACTCCATTTCTCACAGGAGTGAATATTCCGATTCCAGATGCTTCAGGCTGCTGGCATGACTGGCCATTCACCTTTTGTTTTTTTGAGACAGGTTCTTGCTACGTATGTGTGTAGTCTAGCTGGCCTTGAACTTGAGTTGACCCTCCTGCCTGTCTCCTTAATGTTGGCATTACAGTGAGCACTACCACACCTGGCTCTACCTCTTAGCCGTTCCTTCTGAAGACAATGGCCAGCTGTGGCTTTTCCTGTCCCGGAACTACTGACATACTGTTATTTATTTATGGGTGTGACCACAGGCGCCCAAGTGGGTCCCAGAGACCCACTCATTGGGTCTGCACCTTCCCCTGCTGAGCCACCTGAGTACCAGACCCCCGTCATCTGTCCAGTCATAGCTTAGAATGGAAATGTTTTCGTTTCAGGACAGAGAGAAGCAGGGTGCACTACCACCTAATGAAACCAGTAGTGTATTTTCCCGCTAGTTTAGCAACCTAGCAATCCCCCTCTCCCTCCTCCCTCTTCTCAACAGTCTCTCTACATAGCCTTGGCTGTCCTGGAACTCACTCTGTAGACCAGGCTAGCCTGGAACTCAGAGAGATTCCCATGTACACACTTTAGATGATCTCTAATGATCTAATGGGGGTTATTTTTTATTTTTTGCTATTTTGGTTTTTCAAGACAGGGTTCTCTGTGTAGCCCTGGCTGTCCTGGAACTCACTCTGTAGACCAGGCTGGCCTTGAACTCAGAGATCTGCCTACCTCCGCCTCCCAAGTGCTGGGGTTAAAGGCATGCACCACCACTGCTACCAGGTGTGTTTTTTTTTTTTTTTTCTTTAGGCAATGTCTCATTTTGTAGCCCAGGCTGGCCTTGAACTCAGAGCAGTCCTCTTGGCTCAACTTCCTGAGTGCTGAGTGTACAGGTGTGCACCATGGCCAGCTTTGGGTTATTTAGAATACAGACTGCTAATAAATGTGGTTTCAGTTAGATGACAAGAGGAAGTATTCTTTGTGTTTGGTACAAATGCCATTTCCTTTCTCAAATATTTGGTCTGTGGTTGAACCACAGATACATAATACAGGACCATGAACAGCAGTTAGAAACAGATGGGATGCTGCACCTTTAAAGGTGTGACTCTGCTGTAACCCATGCTGCCTTGCTACGATCTGAGAGCAGATGTCCCCAAGTGTCTTGACATCTATGACCCAGTGCACAGGCTTCCACATCAATGATCCCGGAAGAAAACTAGCACCACCGGGCTCTTGCACTCTTTATTCACTTGACAGATACAGGAAGGAAATCTGCAACCATCTATCAAAATTATATCTTACCAAGAGTTTGAAAGATGTTTATAAAACGTTGTATATTCACAGTCAGTTATGTACAAAGTAGTACCCATAGTAGTAGAAGCTAGGCAGTGACCATGTGAGAGTAAATGACACCCGGAAACCCTCACCCTGGCACCTGCCACTCTGCATCAGCCTTCAGTATGCATTTGACTAGGGGAAGTGCTTTCAGAGAAAGCCTTCCTGCTGTGCAAGCAAGGGCCAGGGCTACATTGCAGGCCAGAGGGGAGAGGCCGATGGCTACCCCACAGTCCTGGAGATGGCTTTGACATTCAAGGAAGGGTTCTCTTCAGCACTGGGACGTGCTTTGCAATATGCAAACTGGGGTTTCCTCTCAGATGAGGAGACTGAGGAGGTGCCGAAGACCCTGAGAAGTGGCAGCCTGTGGGTATCTAGCTGGCACTATCAATGAGGGTTGGGAAGAATGGAAACCTGTGCCTTTTTTCGTAAACTGCCCACGCTTGAATAATCGAAGGACACGAGAAGACCCCAGGATTGCTTTGGGACTCTAACTTCTCATCAGGATATGGCATCATTTCCATCCTAAGGGTGCAAGCAAATATCCAGTTTCCAAGCTATCCTCAAATTCAGCATTAAGGACCCACTGGGAGTGAGGAGAGATGGAAGTCGGGGGGGGGGGGGGGGGGATGTCTCGCTGAAAGGATGTTTTTTTGAATGCATGCAGTAATCTTCTAACATTCTTTTGTAAGCCTCAGTGGTCACCGACCAAAGTAGTTAAGAGAAGTCAAGACCTTGCACGGGGTCTGGGGATATAGCTCAGTTGGTAGAGTGCTTGCCTAGCATGCACACAGATAGCCCGGGTTCGATCCCCAGCACAGTCAACCGGGCACAGTGGTGCATGTGGGTGCATCCCAGCTCTGGGGAGGTGGGAGATCATCCTCAGCTACATAATGAGTCTGAGGATAGTCTGGGGTTTTCTTTCAGAAAGAGAAAAAGAAAGGGGAAGAGGAAGGAAGAGGAAATGGGAGTGAAGTGGAGAGAGGAAAGAGGGCAAGCAAGGCTCTGGCTCCTCTGCAGCCTTAGCCTCCCGCACCACGCCAGACACTCAGGAGAATGAACAATGCCGGTCTCTCAGCTTTTCTTCCGGGGTTAGGTCACAAACGGTCACAACTGCAAAGCCTGGTTCTGGGGGTCTGAGGCAGAGACTTCCTCTAGAAGCCTGACCTTGGAAGACCTTACTTGGCAGTTCAGCGAATAGAACCAAGAACGTACATAGGGCCAGCAAGATGGCTCAGTGGGCAAAAACACGTGCCTCCAAGCCTGAGGATCTGAGTTCAATTCCTAAAACCCACATGGTGGGAGGCGAGAACCTTTGACCTCATGAGCAAGCACACGCTCCGTACACACACACACACACACACACACACACACACACACACACACACACCTCAGCACGACGGCTCATGTCTGTGACCCCCGGTACTTGGAAGGTGAAGGCAGAGGACCATACGTTCAAGTCCAGCCTGTGCAAACAGCAGACCCTACTACGCACGCACATACATTTGCTTAAGATCACAGATAGGACAAGCAGGAAACACTCGGGCACCTGTCACGAACGGACACTAAACTTTCCAGTGAAGTTTAAAAGTCAAACTCTGATCCTTTTGTGGTGAAGTCAATAGACCGCTTTTGGCTGTTGGCCTTGGCTCCCTCTTTTTTTTTTTTCCTCTTGGAGAAATTTAGTCACTGAGAGTAAAAGCTGTGCCCCCGGGACCCCTCTAACAGCAGGATCAAAACAGGAAAGAGTCCTTCCTCTCTGGCCAACCCCTAGCCGGCTCTCAACTGCAGCTGACATTCTGCTCATAAATGCCCTGTGTCCTGCAGGCATCAGACCCGAGCTCTGGAGCTACTCCTGTTCTTCCCACTATTTTCCACTAAGCGGGCTGGATTCAGTGGCTTTATCCCAGGTGTGGCTTGGCTTGTGGCCACTCCTCTCCTGGACTTAAACACTCGCACACAAACACAGCCTGTATCCTCGTCACGAAAGACACTACACACTTGGGACCCTTACACAAACTGCGCTAGCCGGGGGCTTGCAAAAGCGCCCTGAATCGGAAGGCGTGATGACTTCCATTCTGCCCGAGGGGCTAGTGAGATGGCTGGGCAGGTTAGGGGTTCTAGTCTAGAGTGCACCTGGTGACCCGAGTTGACCCTCAGGACCCACGTACACGTGGAGAGCCGACGACCCAGGGCTCATCTCTGACATCCACGTGTGGGCGGTGGCATGTGTGCACAGTAAAATGGACAGAACCGTTGACCACAAGCCCCCTTTTCTCCCTTGTGTGGCCTATTTCCCTTTCTTTTCACCAGCTGAGATGAGCCTGTTTGGGCTTACAGTCTTTAACTACAGTCTGGGAACTGAACCAGGGCCCCGAGGATGCTGAGCGCATCATGCTTTACCAAAGAGCTACGCCCTCAGCTCCTCTTTTCCGTGTGTGTATGCACGGGCACTGCTCCTCAGGAGCTGTCACCTTGCCTTTGGACACAGCGTCCTTCATTGCCTAGACCTCATGAGGCTCGGCTGGCTGGCCAGCTAGCCCAGGCAGCCACCTGTCTCCACCTCACCAGTGAGGGTTGTTAGGCCTGACTCCTAGAGTCAAATTCTTACTAGGATTATCCGGGCCCAGTGAAGTGTGAAGTGTAGCTCGTTAGTGGAGCACTTGCTAGCATGCCCCAAACCCCAGGTTTGTTCAACAGTCACACACACACCCCAGTACTATTGTGTGACCCCAAATCTCTAAAGAGAAGCCCAAACTGGTTCATAGGCTAGTCCGGGAGAGAGCCAGCAGGCCTCCTTTCGAGGTTTCTGACGTTTCCCAGCCCATCCCCTGGCTGAGGCAGCTGCCACATGCACTGGGAACTCCTATTCAGTCTGTGCATGCTGCCTAACTGACCCACAGCACCCGAGCTCACCTGTAACCTCCACAGCCTCCACAGCACGGCCACCGCCCACTTCACACAGTGGTCGCTTCTGAGGTTCCTGAGAGCACACCTGGCCCTTCACACCGGTCTGTGTGGTGAGCACACTGCCCCACGGCTGTGGGAGGCCCTGCTCTGGGCAGCTCCAGTCGACTCCAGGGTCTCCCATAGCTAACCAAGAACCAGCTTTTCTCCAGATTCTTGCTCTGGTACAGACACAACTGGTTCATGAACTGACAAGCTACCAGAACTGGACATTAATTCAAATTCTGTACTTTTATTTTTTTCCCCCAATGCTGGGGATTGAACCCAGGGCCTTGCTAGACAAACATTCTACCACTGAGTTATATCCCAGCCCCTAGTTTAAATTCTGACCCCGACAGTGGGCTGTAGTGATAAAAGAAAAACCAGGACAGAGCGCTTCACCAGCCACTTTACGCTTTAATTCTTTGGGAACACATCCTATTTGCCACCAAAGGAGTCACGACAGGCAGGCTGCGGCACTGATTAGAAATGTATTATTTGCATCGTATGAGGATGTGACTCTGGGTCATCAGGGCCACTTATGCCCCAGAGCTGCCTTGTCTGCTGTCAACGAGAACTGCTGTGGGGACAAGAGAGGGGAAGGGAGAGGAAGCATCCGGGGCAAAAGTAAGCTTGCAAGTATGTCTGAAAACGAGGAGATTGTGGAAAATCCAGAATTGACTTAAGGATGACAGGGGACTGTTGAACAAGTTCCATCATTTCTAGAAATTATAAACTTTGGAACCTGGGGTTGACTCTCAGGATAAAGCAACTCCAAATACATCCAGACTGGCCTTGGGAAGAAGTGATAACCACAGATGATCATGAGCGTCAGTGCTTGAGACAGAAATGGGGCTTGTGGGGTGGTGTCCTTATTTAAAACTTACAAGCGGGCATCAAAAGAGGCTCAGAGTGAGGCCCAGGCCCAGTGCCACCTCCTCACAGAACCTCCTGGACAGTGCAGGATTCAGCTAACACATGTTTTATTTCCAACATGGTGTGCATGACGGAAGTTCTGTTCAGCCTCCCGAGAGTTCCCAGGATTGGTAGAACCTCCGTGCCCAGGGTCACACCCGCTGGCAGAGCACAACTTCTTGGTGCAGCACGTTTTCTGGTCCTTGTCCCTCCAATCCGGTAGTTGCTGCACTGAGGGACATCTGTCCACCTAATGATGAATGTTGGAAACCGTTTTCTGTAGACACCTCCTTCCAAAGTCCAACAGTGCAGGTGGCCAGGGAAATTTGGAAGGAAGCTGCCAAAGTCCAGCTGGAGTCTTGATGTCGTTAGAGGACACGGAGAAGTCACCCTGTCCTCCTCAGGTATTTAATCATCAGAGAGGAAACATCCGCGGGTTCTAACTGCAGACGGGCTAGATATAAAACTGATGGAATGCAAGCTGGTCCATGAAGGGCTGCACGAGATAGTCTGTGGCGAAGTAGAAAACCAGCCCAAAGGTGATGGAGATGGGAAGAGCCGGCAGCGCCTTCTTGAAGATGGCGAGTAGCAGTAGCGTAAGGCACAGGCCCTGTGGGACGGAGGGTGCACACTCAGGACTGTCAGCATCCCACCCAGAGCGGTTCAGCACCACATGCGGTGAATACCCTCTCAGGCTTAACTTTGACCACACAAGTTTCATGAAATCTAGAAGCATGAGAGAAAAATGTAGCTTCGGGAACTGGACCTGCTAGCACATGCCAGCTACTAAGGAGGCTGAGGCAGGATTACCTGAGCCCAGAAGCTTGAGACCAGCCTGGGCAACACAGTGAACACTGGTTCAAGAGAAAGGGAGGAAAGGGGAGCTGGGAGGGGGTGGGAGGGGCCGGGAGGGGAGAACCAGTCTGTGCTGGAGATGGCCATGGCCCTGTGCATGCCGAGTGTGGTCCTCTATGGAAATGCAGTTGCTGCTTTTTTTGTTCACTTATATACACAGCCCAGACTGGCCTCAAACTGTCTATCCTCCTGCCTCAGTCTCCTAAGTGCCAGGCCATAAGTGTGCACGATGCCTGAATTAAATAGAATTTATTTTTTAGACCATCACATGTAACCTTGGGGGGGGGGGCTCAAATCCCTATACAGCTAAGAATAACCTTGAACTTCTGGTCCTTCTCCTTCTGTCTCCACAGTGCTGGGATGTGCCACCATGCCTGTTTTATGTGGTCAGGGACGGAATGCCGGGTGTGGTATATGCCAGGCAGGCACTCTAACAACTTCACTATGTAGACATCTCAACGCCAAGCAGTAAGAAAGAGTTCTCCATTATTAGTTCAGTCGGATTTTGTTTTGAGACAGGATCTCACTATGTAGCCTAGAATTTAACCAGGCAGAGATCCACCCACCTTTGCCTCCAGAACACCAGGATTAGAGGTGTATAGCAACACACCCAGCTTTCTGTTTTGAAAGGCACAGGCATTAAGCATGATGGGGTCATGCACTGGGCTAGCCTCTCTCGCTCCACACCTGCTGCCCAAAGCAACCCTGTTGCAGACCGAGCATCAGTGGAAAAGCACTGAACTCCACGGCTCAGCACACGGGTCAGGAGAGTCCTTCTTGACCCCTGTGCTGCTGGGCTCTCGACGTGGTGTCCAAGACAAGTACGATTTCCTGGAGAATCTTTAAGAACTACTCACAACAAAGCAGCTATTCTATCTCGGGGGACAAAGACAAGCAAGGACTGGTATCAGGAGCTAGTGCAGGAAGAGCGCACAGCAAGTGCACAAGGCCTTAGCTCATTAGACTCAGGCGAGGCCTAGCTAGGCTGGAAGCATCCAGCGATTTTAGTGTGTGGCCAGAGTGGACAACTACTCAGGTCTAATGATCCATTTTTAAAAAGCTTCTCAAGGGACTGGAATTCTCAGCCTATCTGGAGTCTAAAGAAATTGTTAGGGCCAGGAAGATGGTTCAGCAGGTGAAGAAGGCACTAGCCACGTGAGCCTGACGAGCTGTTTGACCCGGGGGAGCTCGGTGAAAAGCTGGGGGTGGGGGGCACACCTGCAGTCCCTGCACTCCTATGGAGAGATGGAGGTGGAGACAGGACAGACAGGAGGACAGACAGGAGTGCACAAGTCGGTGGCAGACACTAGAGCGCCCTCCCTCAGCTGGAAAGAAGGCCCCAGCTCCCCAACACTGCTCTGCCCTGCACTCGCACAACCGCTCGGGGAAGACACTTCTGCAGGTGTGCAGGGCCCGCGCTCGGCCCCTCTTCTGCAGGGCATACTTACGATCAGTATGGCTACAAAGCAGGCGATGGTGGTGTTCCAGTCCCCACTGGCGGTCGCCGAGGCTTTACCAACCAGAACACTGTAGAAAATGAAATCCCCCAGTCCCAGTTTCACGCCCCCTAAAATGAGAAAGAGCAAAGATGTCAGGAAGTCTGTCATTCTTTCCCAGGCTTTTCTTTTTTCAGACAGGGTGTGTTATGTTGCCCACGCTGGCCTTGAACTTGTGAACCTCCTGCCTCTGCCACTCAAGCTCTAGGACTACGAGTATGTGCCACTACACCCAACTGCTGTGATTTCATAATTCAGATGTATGGCCCCAAGCTGGGCATGGTGACATGCACCTGCACTCTGAGCTACTTAGGGACTGAGTGGGATGGCTTAAGACCAGGAGCGTGAGGCCTGCCTCACATGGTGAGACTCTGTCTCAAAAACCAAAGCCAAATGAATCAAAAAACACAGTCCCACACTAACTGAGAAGTCAGTAAACGATATACACAATTCAGGCTTCAGAAAGATTTCTTTCTGTCTGTTTTTTCTACACCAGGAGTTTTAAATTCTTTATGACTGGAGTCCCAAGTGATGCTGCTGTTCCATCTCAGTAACCACAAAAACTTAATTAATAATAACATAACTGACTTCTACTTAATGCCGAGCTTACCCAGAATGTACATCACTGAATTCTTATAGGACCTCGTATACACCTGATGGAGGTCCAACCCATGAAACCCTTCTGTAAGGACGTGACGCAATGACCGTGAAAGTTCAGAGTGAATGACTGTCATCACAATCCACACTGGACCATGCCCTAAGGCACCACATGCCACTGCCCCAAACCCAAGACCCTTTTTTCTCTTTTCTTTGTGAGACAGTCTCACTCTGTAGTTCTGGCTGTCCTGGAACTCACAGAGATCACCCTGCCTCTGCCTCCTGAGTACTGGGATTAAAAGTCATCATCTTTTTGGTTTTGGTTTTGTTCTCTTATTTTCTATTTGTATGAATTTGTATTTCCTAGACGTTTCATACACATATAAAATGATGTTTTTAGTGATTAGATTACATACTGACCTTTAAAAAGCTGTTTTGAGCTGAGCAGTGGTGGGACACACCTTTAATCTCAGCACTCTGGAGGCAGAGGCAGATGGATCTTTGTGAGTTCGAGGCTAGCATAGTCTACAGACAGAGAGTTCCAGGACAGCCTGGGCTGCACAGAGAAACCCTGTCTTGAAAAACCATCAAAAAGTTGTTTGGAGCTGGAGAGGTGGTTCAGTGGGTAAACTGCCTGCAAAGCAAGCACGAGGACCCGAGTTCGATCCTCAGCGCCCTGCAAGCTGGATGAGGTGCATATCCGTAACCCCGGTGCTGGGGGAAGGAGACAGAGACAGGTGGATCCTCGGTGCCCTGCAAGCTGGATGTGGTACGTATCCGTAACCCCGGTGATGGGGACGGAGACAGAGACAGGTGGATCCAGGAGCGCACTAACCAGCCAGCTTAGCCAGCATGGCCAGCCAGCTTCTGATTCAGTTAGAGACTTTGTCTCAAAAAAATAAGACTGTAAGCCGGGCGGTGGTGGCGCACGCCTTTAATCCCAGCACTTGGGAGGCACAGCACTTGGGAGGCAGAGCCAGGTGGATCTCTGTGAGTTCGAGGACAGCCTGGGCTACCAAGTGAGTTCCAGGAAAAGGCGCAAAGCTACACAGAGAAACCCTGTCTCGAAAAAAACCAAAAAAAAAAAAAAAAAAAAAAAGACTGTAGATGCCAAGAACCCAGCAGAGAAAAGAAGCTGCATAAAGTACTGAAGCCTGCTTCATCCGCAGGACAAATAGAGACCGCCCATCTCAGCAAAGAGTGCTCAGAGGTCAGTGAGTCGGAGAGAAAGACACCTCACACTGACCTTCAGCTTCCATCTTCACTCCCACGGGGGGCACGTGCGCGCACACACACACACACACACACACACACACACACACACACACGCACGCATACCTCCCCCCCACATGCATACCTCCTACACACACACACACACACACACACACACACACACACACACACACGCACGCACGCATACCTCCCCCCACATGCATACCTCCTACACACACACACACACACACACACACACACACACACACACACACGCACGCACGCACACCTCCCCCCCACATGCATACCTCCTACACACACACACACACACACATGCATGCATACCTCCCACAAACACACCTGCACACACACACACATACATGCATGCATACCTCCCACACAAACACACCTGCACACACACACACACACACACACACACACACACACACACACACACACACATGCATACCTCCCACCCCCACACATGTATACTTCCCACCCCCCCACATGTACACCTGCACACACACACATGCATACCTCATACACACACACAGGAAAAGCTTGGGAAGACATATGTATGTGCCTTTTAGAATCAAAATTCTAGAGTAAACAGCCTTTTGTAAGTAACCATGTCTGCTTTAACAAACTATCACAATCAGATATGGATTAAGAATGTGCTGGATACTTGGTTGTTCAAGAATGTGTCAATTAGCTGCCATAAAATAGGGGTCAAGGGAGAATTAAAAATCCATGAAGGAGGCTGGAGAGATGGCTCAGCAGTGAAGAGCAATGGCTGTTCTTCCAGAGGACCTGGGTTCAATTCCCAGCACCCACATGGCAGCTCACAACAGTCTGTAACTTCAAGATCTGACACCCTCACACAGGCATACATGCAGGCAAAATGCCAATGCATATGAAATACAAATAAATAAAAACAAAAAACCACAAAGGGCTGGGTGTGGTGACGCGCCATTAATGTCAGAAGTCAGGAGGAAAAGGCAGGCACATCTCTGTGAGTTCTAGGCCAGACAGAGCTACACAGTGAGACATCCCCCACAAAAAACAAACAAACAAGCAAAAACAAAACAGAAAAAGTCTTAAAGGCCGGAACGTAACAATTAACAAACTTAGCACCTTAGCTATAAAAATCCACTGACTGTTGATGGCACCTCCCGCTAAGCGCTACAGCACCACCCAGCACTGTCTGCTTAGGTTCTCAATTCTCTGTACTCTCGCTTTCCTGTGTACGTATTCAAAGAGGGACCTGGGTGTGTGTGCATGTGCACAGGGTGTAGAGGCCAAAGGTGTCTTCTTCAGGGGTTCTCCATCTTAGTTTTGGAGACGGTCCCACTGGCCCTGAAACGACTTCAGTCCAGTCAGCAAGCCCCAGGGACCCTCCTGTCTCTCCCTCCCCAGTGCTGGGATCACGAATGTATAAGGCTGTGCTGACCTTTTTTTTCTGTTTCTTAAAATCTGAGTGTTGGAGAGGGAACTCAGGCCCTCCTGCTTGTGTGGCAAACACCCACATAAGCAATTTCCCCTGAACAATTCAATGAAGAAACCCATGACTTCAGACAGAGATGACTCACGTACTTTCCTCCGGGTCTTCACTAGTGAGGATACTGCCGGAGAGTTCCTGGACAGCAGCTCTTGACTCGGGAGTGGAGCGATGAGGCCCCAGGTGACTGTCCCTTTGGGCTTCCCATTCCTCACTGAAGCCACCATCATCGTTCCCAGTACTAGTGTCCTGTGTCTCACTTTCTGCTCCTTTAAGAGAGAAGGTAGCCGTTAGAGCTCTAACACTTGGAGCCATCTCCTCCATATTCCAGAGGGCAGAGTCTCGGTTAAGACACGCACAGCAATTCTTCCATTCTCTTTTCTCCAAGTTCTACAGCTGAGGAACTGTGACTTGGTACTGACTATGAGTGGTGACATTTCCCCCTTTCTTTCCTCTTTTTAAGGAAGGAAGGAATGGCTTCCACCTTCCCTGCATGCAGTCGGGATCTAATGCCCAGTACTCCAACTGTCAGGATCACAAGGAGATGAAAGCGGAGTATGTCAAAGGTGGCGAGCAGGAAATGGTAAAGAACCCGCTCCCTTGTGAACACCAACAGGGAATGTCTTGTTCAGTACACTATCCCCACAGCTTAGGAAAGCACCTAGTGATAAGTCAGCATTTGTTGAAAGAATAAAATCTTTTTTTTTTTTTTTTTTGGTTTTTTGAGACAGGGTTTCTCTGTGTAGCTTTGCGCCTTTCCTGGATCTCACTCTGTAGACCAGGCTGGCCTCGAACTCACAAAGATCTGCCTGGCTCTTGCCTCCCGAGTGCTGGGATTAAAGGCGACCGCCCGGCTGAAAGAATAAAATCTTAACACACCAAAAAATGCTCATACTTGTATAACATACAGTGTGCTGAATGCGTTTACGTCAACTTGTCACAAGCTAGAGTCATCAGAGAGGAAGGAGCCTCAATTGAGAAAATGCTTCCATAAAATTAGGCTGTAGGTAAGCCTGTAGGGCATTTTCTTAATTAGTGATCAATGGGAGAGAGCCCAGCCCATTGTAGGTGGTGCCATCCCTGGGCTGGTGGTCCTGGGTTCTATAAGAAAGCAAGCTGAGCAAGCCACAAGGAACAAGTCAGTAAGCAGAACCCCTCCAAGGCCTCTGCATCAGCTCCTGCCTCCGGGATCCTGTCCTGTTTGAGTTTCTGTCTTGAACAGTGATGTGGAAGTGTAAGCTGGATAAACCCTTTCCACCCCAAGTTTCTCTGGTCATGGTGTTTCTTCACAGCAATAGAAACCCTGACTAAGACATACAGTCACAACTTTTTCCTTTAGCTCAATGTGATACCCAGACTTGGGGCTGCAGAGATGGCTCTTCCAAAGGACTTGGGTTTGGCTCCCAGCACCTACATGGTGGCTCACAAACATCCGTAAGTCCATGGAATCTGACGCCCTCTGCTGACCTCCACGGGTACCAACCATGCATGTGCACATACATACATGCAGGCCAAATACTCAAACACATAAAAATTATATATATTTACATATACTATATAGATTTTAAAGTTAGGCTTTTAGCAACCATTTTTAATACTTCCTCTCTTGCCTTTGATCTGTTATTGGTCAAATGGCACCTTGCTCTGCTGCCTCACTCTGAGGAAAGGAGCTCTGACACTGGGAGCCTCAGATCTGAGTTCCCAGCCTCAAGTCTCCTCTTACAAGCACCCACATCAGTTCCTCTGCCTCTGTAACTAAACAGCAGTGCGGCCAAGGCCCACTGTTCTCTCTGAACTGTCATTTCTTCTTTCTCTTTCAACTTCCTAAGGTTAGCCCTTCGTCTTTTTAAGAAATCCCCTTTCTGCTTTACTTTTACACCACACCATTCTTCAACTCTTTTTATTATTATTATTATTATTATTTGTTTTATTTGTATTGGTGTTTTGCCTGCATGTATGTCTGTGTGAGGGTGTTAGATTTTGGAGTTACAGACAGTTGTCAGCTGCCATTTGGGTGCTGGGAATTGAACCCAGGTCCTGTGGAAGCACAGTCAGTGCTCTTAACCACTGAGCCGTCTCTCCAGCCCCTGTTCTTCAATTCTTTCTGACACAGCTTCTAACTGATTATCCTTAGTGTCTTCCGTAGTATTCACAATCCTTGGTCATCACCATCATCCAGTCCACTGAGGTACTTGACCTTCTTAGTGCAAGCATCACACCTCTCATCAGATATTTTCAGTCACCCTGGACATGCTGGACAAGAGTCCAGACCCCGCCCCCCTTTGGTGACAGGCTCTCCCTACACAGTCAAGGCTGGCTTGAACTCACAATCCTCTAGCCTCTGCCTCCAGTGCTGAGATTACAGACATTCTGACTACACCCAGTTAAGGTTCTCATTTTTTTTCTATTTGGAGGGTGGGGAAGAAGAGCGAGCTTCGTTTTTTAAAAAGCATTTTTTAAAAAATTACCCATTAACAGCAGCATCTTAGCCCAGTATGGACTGGTGACTTAGCAAGTATTTCAGCTCCTTAAATAGTTCTATGTGCATCTACTGGGGATGGCCAATTTTTCTGGGAGATTCTCTGTGACATCTTTCCTTGCCACACATCCCCCTATGTCCAGGGCTTCTCAAATGGCAGGCAAGTGCACTGGCCTAGAGCTCTAGCAAGACAGGGTTGAAATTACGGCTTTATAACCTCAACTATTTATCTACAAATGACAATGAACCTGTAAAGCTAAGACAATTACAAATGAGCGCCACCTACTTTGTGTGCTATACTTGGGGTTTTTGGGTACCCTTCTTTGGGCTTCTGGGTCTCCTTCAGCCATATTCACCAACCACACCATTGTTGCTGTTGAGAAAGACAAAACTGAAGGTCAGTTCTCCAAGCCCAGGACACTGTGTTAGCAAGCAAAAGGCCATTACTTCTGTACAGTTTGAAAACACTGGTCTTTGTGATGTTACCTCATATGCTAAAATAATCAGAAATAAATGAAGATTTAAAAAAAACAAAAAACGATAAAAGAACAGGTTAAAAAACAAATATAAAACTGAATGTACTGGGGCTGGAGAGATGGCTCAGCGGTTAAGAGCCATGGATGCACTGGCTTCTCTTGCAGAGGACCTGGGTTCGATTCCCAGCACCCACACAATTGCTCAAAACCATCCATAAATCCAGTTCCAGGGATCCAATGTTCTCTTCTGACTTCTGACCTCCAAGGGCACCTTAAAACTGAATGCACTAACACAGTATTGCTCCAGCATACTTACAGGAATAGATAAGAGCTGGGAAGAGAGTTTCATTTCTTTCCTGAGCTGTTTCAACCAGCATACGAAGTGGACCTTTGGGGCATAAAACAGCCACCAAATCTAGAAAGAGAAAAATAAAAAAGACACCCAATAAAATATATTGACTGAAATGTGTAAATGAGTACATGCTAGGGAAGACTTAATGTATTTTTACAAAAGGATGCTGGGAAAATATCGAAATACTTGCAGTTAAGAAACTAAGAAAAAGAGCAACCTAAACAAAATAGAATCCACAGAAGACTTGTGCAAATTACACTTTGGCCTTCCTGCTGTGTGCTCAGTCTACAGTGTATGATTACTGGGGTCTAGACACGACTCCTCTTAGTTGGAAGGAAAGAGGCAAGAAGAGCAAGACAGAACTACTCTAGAGTAGTTCTCAATCTGTGACGAACAGAATGGGAGGGAGTGCTTTTCAAATAATTCCACCTATAAATTACAAACGGACACTTGACTGGACCTACAAGAGCAGAGTGGAGACAGTGTGGATGGGGTGCTGTGGTGGCACACGTGCACAGCCTGGGAAGCCTGCACCCAGTCCCCAGCTCCACAAAGCAAGTACGCATAATGAAGGAGCTTGCAATAAGAGGGCAACACATTTAAATAAAATGATAGCTTCTTCGCATGACAAAGTTTCCATTTTTTCAGTTTCCAGTCAAATAGAGTACTAAGTTCACAAATATTTAGGTATCAGAATATATGTGGTGCTAAAAATTGACCTATTTCACAAAAATAGCAGCTCAGAGAGGAAGCAATACACCTAAATTATATCTGATTCTGACACCACTTTCTTCCATGAACTACAATTTTTCTTATTTTCTGTGTCATTTAAAACATCAAGCAGGGAGAGCTGAGACTGTAAGGAGACTTGAGAGCTGGCATCACTGACATCGGATGGCCTTCCGTGCTCATGTCCCTCTACAATAGTAGGAACAGGACAGCAGCAACTCTCCCCCACTTTTCCACTTAGATCTGTTCAAGTGAGAAAAGGGAAATGTCCTGTACTTGCAACTAATGGGATCTTCAGCTGGCTTAAAGCTCCACATCCTGCCACTATTTTGGTTTTATGACATGTTTCCCCTTATAGAATTTTGAAATGAATAGATTCAGTTATTTTTAGGGCAATTGAAATGAATGACAATTAGTGTACTTAGAAGTTTGCGGAGCACTTCTGACAAAACATCTTGATGAGAGTCACTCTATCTAAACCCTGGGTACCCAGCTTTTCCACACTCAGAAGACCCAAGCTCTGAGGAGCTCTCACCTGTGCTATGAGCGGAGGGTTGAGAGTCACAGAGAGAATAATACAGGCTTAGAATTCAGTCTAGGTCAAGCCACATGAGATCAGGCAAATATTTTACCTCTGTAACCTTCAAGCTGCTTAGCAATTAAAAAACAACAACAACCAACCTGTGGTGACTACATTGCTGACCTCTCAGGATGGTAGTTCAAATTACACTGTTTACCATGCTACCTTGCATGAGTGGACAGCTTGCGCAGGAACTGGTTCTCTCCTATCACCACGTGGCTTCTGGAGACTGAACTCAGGGTGTCTGGCTTGGTGGTAAGAGCCTTCACAGGCTGAGCCATCTCACTAGCTCAAAACTGGCCTTCCTGACCTCAGCTATGCAGGGACAGACGGCAGATTCACCAACATTAGTAAGATGAGGTTACCATGGGAGTGAAGCAGGGAGTATGTGACTTTCAAGTCTGACTAGTTGCTCGAGTAACCAACAGGACCAGCTGCGTTCTATTCCCACAGGCTACTCTCCATCAATTAAAGCGGATGACAGTTTCCAGTTACAGGTCACCACATATTTGCATGCTCTTTAGAATGGTGACCACTGAGTAATCTGTGAGAAGGGATCTCTTTTTGGCTTTCATGTGGGGCAAGAGCTGCAGGATAAAGCCAGTCCACCTGTTACTCGTTACTAGAGTATTATTGTGACTTTTTCAGGATCCATGTCACAGCAGTAGTTAAAGAATTGAAATCTTTAGTTGTCCAAAAGCATGCTTACGCCGGGCGGTGGTGGCGCACGCCTTTAATCCCAGCACTCGGGAGGCAGAGCCAGGCGGATCTCTGTGAGTTCGAGGCCAGCCTGGGCTACCACGTGAGTCCCAGGAAAGGCGCAAAGCTACACAGAGAAACCCTGTCTCGAAAAACCAAAAAAAAAAAAAAAAAAAAAAAAAAAAAAAAAAAAAAAAGCATGCTTACAATTTTTTAAATTTAAATTTCAATTATGCGTATGTATGTGTATCTATATGGCTGCATGTATGTGGGTGTTGTGAACTGAGCTCTGGGTCTCTGCAGGAGTAGTATGCACCTTTAACTACTGAGCCATCTCTCCAGTCCCAAAGGTTTGCTTTTATTATTGAAATGATAGGGGTTTTTGTTTGTTTTGGTTTCTCTATGTAGCCCTGGCTGTCCTGAACTCCCTCTGGAGACCAGGATGGCCTCAAGTTCAGAGATCTGCCTGCCTCTGCCTTCTGCGCCACCACATCTGGCTGCAAAATGATAGGTTTTTTTATTGAGAACTTTTATGCCAGTTATTGTTGGGGGCACAGAGGTCCTTGTACTCACAGAGAAGCACTAAGAACCAGAAATGTTAATCATACAAGGATGTCTACTCAATGGAGGAGATAAAAAAATCAAATGCCTGCGATTCCATCCAGAAAGCTGAGAGTGGATTTGTTAATGACCTAGTGACCTTTATCTGTGGCGGCAGACCACACCCTAATTCCCCAGAATGATTATTCCAGACTCTTCCCTCCTTAGACCATCACACACTATTAGCAGAGATGTCCTGAGTACTTTACGGCCTGCTGACCTCTATGCTATCAGTCAGAGAGCACACTAGATTCCAGGCCTTTTAGCTACAGAACCCACTCTCAGGGTCACACGGACTGTGTAAAAGTTTCTATGTAATCACACCTTAAGCTTCATTGGACACCTGGAATTAGACTGATTGTTGCCTGGAAACCTTTACCCAAAGTGTACTGTGTTCTAAATGAACTGGCATTAGACTCCCCGAAGTCTGACCCAGGTTGATGAAGTCAATCTGCACCGGGTTTTCATTCTCATCTCTTTGTGGTTCACTTCCGTGAATGACACCCGCAGGGACCCCTCCAGTTACGGTTCTATCCACAGGTCTTTCTGTGGACTTAACTTCAAATAAATAAAGAAACAGGTATTGGGCTTATTTTACCTCATTCTCCGATTTTGTTTTGTTTGTTTTTGAAAAAGGGTTTAAAGTGGCCCAGGTTGGTTTTAAACTTACTATATTGGCTATGGATAACCTTGAAACTGCTGGTCCTCCTACCTCTGCCCCCCCCCCCCCCCCCCCCCCGAGTGCTGAGATCACAGGTGTGTGGACAACAGTTATCAGGAAAAAATAAATCTTGAAAGGGGTGATGCCACTCAAGTTGCTGTATGATTTTGATTTTACAAATGAATTGAGGAGGGGCTGGAGAGATAGTTCAGAGGTTAAGAGCACTGACCGCTCTTCCAGAGGACCTGGGTTCAATTTCCAATACCCACATGGCAGCTCACAACTGTCTGTAACTTCAGTTCTAGGAGACCCAACACCTTCACTCAGACATACATGAGGCAAAATACCAATGTATATAAAATAAAAATAAATTATTTTAAAAAATGAATTGAGGAAGGGCTGAAAGGTGGCTGCTCAGAGGTTAAGAGCACTGCCTGCTCTTCTAGAGGACCTGGGTTCAAGTCTCAGGACCCACACAGCAGCTCACAACTGGATGTAAATCCAGTTCCAGAGGATACGACACCCTCTTCTGGCCTCTGTGGGCACAAAACATGCATGTAGTACATAGACATACTTAAAGGCAAAACATTCATACACATGAAATAAAAATCTGAAAGAACAAAAATGAATTGAGGGCAGTGAGATGGCTCAGTGAAGGTATCTTTATGCCACCGAGCCTGACCATCTGAGTTCATTCAGTCCCCAGCACCTACATGAAGGAAGGAGACCATTGATCTGTAAGTAGTTCTCTGACCTCTACACTCATGCCATGACACACGCCCTTGCCCCAAAAAATATTATACAAATTTTTAAATAAACTGAACATTCTACATGCGTCAGGTACTCTGCTAGCACGTCTCAGTATATATTCAATTCACTGAACCCTGCACACTTGTTCTCACTTACAGGAAATCAAAACTCAATAAAACTATTGACAAAAGATGTTATTTTTCTGTTTTGTTAAATGTGGTCTGGGGACTAAAGCCAGGGCCTCACATATGCTAAGAGAAAGTTTTGAATCTAAGTCTTCTGACCAGCAAACTATGGCTCCTCCCATCAATCCAGCGTTGAGTTAAAACTGGAAGTTGTAATAAACATTTTACAAGTCCTCACTCGCAGGGCTGGAGATGGGCTCATGGCATAGTACTGGCCTAGCACCAACTAGTTCCAAGTACAGTCCTCAGCACTGTAAAAGGAAAAGCACTAAAGAGCTATGGGAAATAACCAGTAAGAGTTTCCTTAAATCAAGAGAACTAGAAGAGGAAGGAAAACACACCAGTGAGTATTTCTGTGATGAACAAAGTGTCAGTCTTGAGTTTTACCATATACTGAAATCACAGCCAAGATGAGCCATGCGGTCCACTCAGGGAGGTACTTGATAAATACCAGGGCCATCAGGGCACTGATCATAATAAGATACGCCTGCTGCAGTCGAAGTGGGCCTTTCCAGTGAATGGCAATCATCCCCACCACACCAAAATTCCAGATCAGGAGTGCAACTGTAATGTAGTCCACAGCAACATTGTAGGTCTTAAATACTTCCCTGAAAAAGATTAAACAAGGATCTGAAGTGACTTCTGTGCAATAATTCTCATGTGCATGTTGTTTAGAACTAAGATTCTGAAACATTATTCAAACCCCGTGTTTATGTTTTTACTATGCCTATGCTGTGCAGTTATTTATTTTTTTAAAATTTTTAAAAAATCACATTTTCCTCAAGCAGAACTTATTTTAACAGGTACTACACTGTCCACATTAATGAGTGAATTTTTACAGGTTATACCTGTACCTATAAAAATAAAAACAAAAACTAAAAAGAAGTAAGTCATATCACCTACAATACCATACTATACTGTATGAAATCCTAGTTTAAAGTAACTAAAACTAGAAAAAAAATGGACCAATAAGCTTTATAGCAGAAACATAAATATTTTCATAATGAAACTTAAGGTATCCATTACAAAACCTAATTTTTATACACACACACACACACACACACACACACACACACACACACACACATGCGCGTATAGAATAGTGTGACACATTGTTGCTACAGAAACAAAGAAACAAACTCCAATCCCACTGATGAGAATCTTGTCTAAGAATATAGCTAGAAGCCGGGCAGTGTGGTGCATGCAAACAAAAAAACAAAACAAGCAGACAATAAAGAATAGAGCTGGAGATTTATCTATTAATCTCTAGAAGGATGACTGGACTCTCATTCATTCATTCATTCATTTATTTATTTTGGTTTTTTGAGACAAGGTTTCTTTGTGTAGCCCTGGTTGTCCTGGAACTCACTTTGTAGACCAGGCTGGCCTAGAACTCACAGTCTGCCTCTGCCTCCCAAGTGCTAGGGTAAAAGACGTGTGCCATTACGCCCAGATTACCTTTATTCTTATAAAATGCCTTTTATTTAGTGTCTCTGTGAGCTCGAGGAAGCTCACCCACTCTGGACTGACAGCTAGGGAGCCTGCACAGGACCGACCTAGGCCTTCTGCATGTGTGTAACAGTTGTATAACTTGATCTGTTTGTGGAACTCCTAGCAGTGGGATCAGGACCTGTCCCTGGTGCTTGAACTGACTTTTGGGAACCATTCCCCATGCTGGGTTGCCTCACCCAACTTGATGCAGGGGGAGGAGCTTGGTCCTGCCTCAACTTGATGTGCCATGCTTTGTTGACTCCCATGGGAAGCTTGCCCCTTTCTGAATGGAGACAGGAGGAGTGGATTGGCAACGGGGGAAGTAGAAGGGAGGTAGTAGGGGGAGGGAATGGGAGGAGAGGGAAGAGAAACTGTTGTCAGTATGTAAAATTAATAAAAATTAATAAAAAAAATATAATAGTGTCTGTGTGGTGCCGGGATGAAATGTAAGGCCTCATGCATACTAAGCACGTACTCCACCACTGATTTAGAGCCCTAGCCCACTCTAATAAAAAGAATGTTTAGCACTCTGTGTGTGGTGTGTGTGGGTGAGTTTGCCCACAAGGGCATAAGTAGAGGCCAGGAGCTGACCTTATTTTTGAGACGTCTCTCTTTGAACTTGGTGCTTGTTGTTTTGGCTAGCCTGACTGGCCAGTAAGTCCATGGGATCTGTCTCTTTCTGTATCCCACTGCTGGGGTTATAGGAGCTTGCCACTGTATCTGGCTTCTATGTGGGGTCTGGGTATCCAAACCCAGGCCCCCATGCTTGACCAGCACACACTGCCACATGAGCCAACTCCCCAGACCCTGCTTAACATTTTTAGATGAAGAAAACTACCATTTTAACTTCTGGAGAACAAAATCTATTAGCTAAAGAGACTATAACCACGGGAGATGTCCTAAGTAGCTATAGAGAAAGAATATATTTAAGCACAAACTGTGGGCCAAGAGGACTATCCAGGAAGATGATTTTTCTATTTAGAAATTCTAAAACAAAGTAAAATGTCGAAATTTCTGAATGAGGTTGAAATGTATATTATACTAAACATTTCAAGTATACTAAAATCAAACTAACCTCAACTCTTAGGGAGGTATGCATAAATTAATGACTCCATCCCTTCTGCCCTACAGTTCTGCTCTCCAGGGAAAACACTGCAGTAGTATATATTTTATGTTATCCTTCCCTGGTCTGTCTAATGTATACTTCTTTATTTTCACACAGGGTTGAAGATGGGCCCCAGAACTTCTGATCCTCCTGCTGTACATCAGGGTCATGTGGTGGTAGAGATGGAACCCACGGCTTTATGCATACTGAGCAAACATTCTAACAACTGAGCTACTTCTCCAGCCCCAAATACATGCATTCTGTATTAGATATAAATGACAGTCTATTACACACAGTTCTATGACAAGGGTTTTTCTCTAAATAAATTATGTGTATGAGTGTTTTGTCTGCATGTATGTTATGTGTCCTGGTATGTGGACCTGGTGCCTGAGGAAGTTGCAAGAGGATGGTGGGTCCTGGGAACGGTGTTACAGATGGCTGTGAGCCACCATGGGGATGCTGGGAACCAAACCTGGGTCCTCTGCAGAAGAGCCAGGGCTACTGACTGCTGAGACAGCTCTCCAGCCCCAGCTGTGAGTCTCCTTACTGCAAACAGGGCAGGACAATCCCCACTGAAGGGCTGTTGAGATAACTCGGCAGATATGGACCTAATCGGTGGAAGCAGAGGACTGACCCCCAAGTTGTCCTCGGACTACCACATACACTGGGGCACGAGGTTCCCACCTCACTATTTGGCCAGCACGATGGCTCAGTGGGTGAAGGCAAGCCTGACTACCTTAAGTTTGACCCACAGAACCTGGCTGGGGTGGAAGGAGAAAATGAACTCCTAAAAGCTGTCCTCTGGCCTTTATACGGGTGCTTGCACTCATGTACATACAAACAGTAAGTTGTTGTTGTTTTTTTTAAGAAGATATCCCTATCAATCAACTCATTTAAAAAAATGACTTATTTATTTTTATTTTATGTGCATTTGTCTCTGTGAAGGTGTCAGAAGGCCTGGAACTGGAGTTATATTCAGTGGTGAGCTATGTGGGTGCTGGGAATTGAACCTGGGGTCCTCTGGAAGAGCAGCCAGTGCTCTTAACATCTGAGCCACCTTTCCAGCTCCCCAACTCATTTTTTATATTCCAGTTAAGACATAGTATGTGGAAAAAATGGTTAACTGAAGAGTAACTCACCAACAAGGTACACAGCTCTAAGGGTAGTGATGGATGCCAGAGTGAATGAAAAGAGACCAAAACACTGTATTACTTACCCTAAGTAAATGAATGAAAAAAAGAACAGCAACAGCAGAGATGAAACAATAAGCCAGGCATGGATGACCTAGAAAAGAGACAATTCAAATATAACCAATAGATTCTCGTTTATTAGCCGTCACTATCCCTCCTAACCTCTCTGTTCAGGTATTTCTGAAAGAGGGTAATGGGAGGGAGTATTAAAACTTTTATAAAATAGGCCAGGCATGGTGGCACATGGCCTTTAATCCATGTGAGCCTGAGGCTAGCCTGGTCTACATATAGTGACCTACAGGACAGTCAGAGCTATAGAGTGAGAACTTATCTCAAAAAAAACAAACAACAATAAAAGAAACCAAGAGATGGAGTCTCTTTGTTTTTGTGGTATATGAAATCAAGCTAAGGGAGTGAACAGAAAGGGCTGGCCTGGAGGAGCCTGCAAAAGGAAGTGACTGGTAGGAAAGAAGGCAACAGATGAACATGATCACTACATTAAAAGCTGGCAAAGAAGAACTGCTGAGGGCAAGGGGGTGGGAGAAAGGTAATCAGTTCAATGTATATGTTCTCAGGATCCGAGCAGAATTATGTGTTAAGGAAAACAACCAACAAACCATGGGTCCAGTAAGCAATGACTTCTAGGCTTAAATACTGAACTGAAAGTTGTGTTTGAGATAGCAAGACAGCTTGGCTGGTGAAGGCACTTGCTGCCAAGCACGACAGTAGAGTTGGATCCTCTTGTATGGAATTACTTCCCTCTGATTTTAAAGGTTCCCTTAAGAGGCGGGTGATTGATGGGTGGCAGTGGCGCACGCCTTTAATCCCAGCACTCGGGATGCAGAGCCAGGAGGATCTCTGTGAGTTCGAGGCCAGCCTGGTCTATTGAGTGAGATCTAGGACAGCCACCAAAACTACACAGAGAAACCCTGTCTTCTGTTCGAAAAACCAAAAACACAAAACAAGAAGTGGGTGATCATGAACCACAGAAAATAAGTCAAAGGCTTCATATCTGAGAGAACAGAACTTGCAGATTCGTGGGGGCTACCCTCCAACAATATAAAAAGGAGTAAACAATTGCTTGGGGGTGAAGATTCTGACCAGCCCAAGTACAGAAAGAAAGATATTTGGACAGCGGCCCACAAGTTGTGCAAGGAGCTCCAGGGTTGCAGCTCTGAGAATCGTCACCTATGCTGGGGTGGCCTTCTCAGCGACACATCTGCTTTGGAATCATCGCTGTCCCTTGTAAGTAACCTCTCAGTATACTACTGTTAGTGACCCCAGTAAAAACTCACTGGTTCACTAAATAGACATTGGCTTGTTATTTTGGTATGTCATAGGTCCCCTCTGCGGTGAGCAGATGTGTGTTGGAGGAAAAGTCTGTCACACAAAAGGAAGGAGAGAACTTACTCCCGCAAACTGACCTCTGACTTTTCCACATATGAGCCATGGCACATACATGCCTACATACATACCTGTACATACACATACATACAGACATACACTAAGTAAACATGATTTTAAAGTTGTATCTGAGGGTACAAAATTATGCCTGAGATTAAATGATTTTCTTTTTTAAAGATTTATCTTCACTTTATGTGTAAGCATGTTCTCCCTGACTGTGTATGTGTATGCAGTAAATGCACTGGTGCCTGGTGCCCCAGGAGCCAGAAGAGGTTGTTGGATCCCCTGGAACTGGAGTTAAGGGCGACTATGAGCCGCAATGCAGGTGCAGGGAACTAAACTCACGTCCTCTGAGAGAGCAGCCAGTGTTTCTACTGATGAACCATTTCTCCAGCCCTACTGGGATTTTCTAAGAAATCAGGGAAAGGAGAAATTCCAGTGCCTGGGACTGGGGTTGATGAGCTTTAGGGGACTGTGAAGGAATGTAACCAAAGTCAGAAAGCACAGTAAGAGAACAGAAGCCAATGGCAAGAAGGTCCAGAAAGCTAAGTTCTACAGGGGCAGCAGATATAACCAGGAAGGACTGTCGAGCATGGGCAGTTTCCACGAGGCACAGAAAGAGAAGGCACAGTTGTCAGGAATCGAGGACTAGATTGGAGAAGATTTTTACATGATGGCAGTCACTCAGAGAGAGAGAGAGAAAAGGAGGGAGGGAGGAGAGGCTGGAGGTTGGCCCGAATCACTGCTGCGCCTTCTCCCTGTGCCCAGTGGCCAGGGCAAAAGACCAATCACATAAATGATACTGACAGTTCTCAGGTGCACTGGCCAGTCACTGCTGAGTTCAGCAACAGCATCTGAAGGCGGCTTTATGGGACACTTACATCGTATAGTGCTATTTGTCAGGAAGGATATACACAAAAGCCTTAGGGCACATCCCTGTGGAATGCCACAGGCACAATATAAACTGAAATACTGAAACTACATCATCTTTTGTTTTTGTTTTTTTTTTTTTTTTTGGTTTTTCGAGACAGGGTTTCTCTGTGTAGCTTTGCGCCTTTCCTGGATCTCGCGCTGTAGACCAGGCTGGCCTTGAACTCACAGAGATCCGCCTAGCTCTGCCTCCCGAGTGCTGGGATTAAAGGCGTGTGCCACCACCGCCCGGCTTCGTTTTGTTTTATTCTTTTTTTTGAGACAGGGTTTCTCTGTGTAGCCCTAGCTGTCTTGGAACTCACTCCGTAGTGAGTTCAGGCTGACCTCAAACTCACCGAGACCTGCCTGCCTCTGCCTCTGCCTCCTGAGCTGGGATTACAGGCACGTGCCACCACCACTGTGCTACATGATCTTACATGAAAACATTTGTTTCTCAGTTATGTCTTCTGGTACTTTAAACATGCTCCAGAATGAAAGGAAAAACAGCCAAAACTTAGATCCAAATATAAGGCACTTTTTTCTTTACTAGACCAAGTCAAGTATATAACAAGACAAGAAGGCTGTGGGGCAGCTCGTGAGGCAAGTGTTCACAACCCTGAGGCCTGGATATCTAGAACCCAAGAAAAAAATGGAGAAAACAAGTTATCCTCTCAACTGTGCATGAAGACTCTGGCAAGCACAGGCCTGCTCTTGCCTCTTGCGTGCTCTCTCTTTCTGGATCTCTCTCCCTCCCTCCCTCCCTCCCTCCCTCCCTCCCTCCCTCTCTCTCTCTGTCTCTCTCTCTCTCTCTCTCTCTCACACACACACACACACACACACACACACACTCTCCCTACCTCTCTCTTCTCCTCGCATATATAATAACAACAAGTCTGGAAAAGGAGGACAGTCGACAAGCAGGTCAAGGCGGAACCCAAGCGGCCTCCCATGCTCACCTTGTAGCACCTGTATTTATAGAGGACCACCAGGAGGATGGTCATAACCACAATGACGCTGATCATGATGGCCGCGTTCAGAATGGAGTGCAGGGCTCTTTGGCCTACGGTTTCAGTGTCTTCCGTGAATGGGGTGTAGATTCTAGAGGGAGGGAGGGAGGGAGGGAAGATAGAAAACAACAGTACAAGAAACATCAACAGTGTTAATGGATATCTCAAACCAGATGCTCCCTTTAAAAGGGTACTTAATTGTGAGGTCTTTGATTTACTGAGTGCCTTAGAATGTACCTTTCGCAGTTAGTCAACTAAGAATTTTTTTTGTTTGATTAGTTTTTTGAGACAGAATCTAGTAAACAACCCCAAGCTAGCCTGGAACTCACTATGCAGCCCAGGCTGTACTTGAACAGGTGACCTTCCTGCCTTTGCTTTCCAAGTGTGGGGATTAAAAGGCTGTACTACCCTGGCTCTAACTAATAATTTTTAAAACTACACACATATACACTATTATTTTAAATTGTATGTGCATGTGTGTGCCCTCATGCATGTGTACAGACGTCCATGAAGGGCAGAGGCCTCCAATCCCCTGGAGCTGTAGCCTGATGGGGGTGTTACGAATCACACTCAGGACTTCACAAGAGCAGTACAGTCTCTTCACCGCCGTGCCGTCTCTCCACACCTCTGGCTAAGAATGTTTAACCTAAGGAAAATGCTGCCCTCTAAAATGACTGCTCCAAAGTAAAAGGAAACAGCCAGACTCCGGAGAGACAAACTCACACCGGAGACAGACGGGCACTTGCTCCATCTAGTGGATGATTTGTACTGAAATAGTCATCTCACCCAGTGTTTTCCCAGAGCTCATTAGGATCTGTTAAATAACTGGATTTGCACATAAACTCCCCAGGCTGAACAACATCATCAGAGGGAGGTGACAGGGTTGGAACTATTGTCTTTTATCTGTGGAGTGATTACAACTGGAGCTATCCTCTCCTTGCTTTTCATTTACATAAAAATACCTTTATTCCTGGTGCCAAGGCTCTTGGCCCAATGGCTTTCCTTCTGCCCCTTACAGCAGGTGTGGTCATGAGACTAAATAATGGCCAAGGAACTTTGAATACATGTTTATAAGGAAGTTCTTGAAAGGAGTGCCCTCTGCTAAGTGATGACTAAGTCCTTCTCAACTCCCTCCTGCTGTCCGAATGAAGGCTGAGGCTCTAAGTCTGGACCCCCTAGGAACCTAGAGGACAGAAGTGGAAGAAAGGAGGCAAGGTGCTTCATGAATAGAAGACTAGTAGACCAATCTGGACTTCTCCCCTGTACTACTCTGTGGGAGAAAGACAGAAAAGTCTGTCGTTTGAGTTTCTATAACAGGGTCATAAAGCTGGGTATGGTGACACACACTTGGAATCCTAGCACTCAGGAGGCTGAAGCAGGAGGATCGAAAATTTGTGGCTAGCCAAGACTACACAGTAAATTCCAGACCAGCCTGAAATATAGTGAAAACAACTAGGAAGGATCTAGTTCTAGAAGAAGATGCAGGTAGTTAGAGTTAAAGATTGAATAGGCAAGCCAAGAGGAGAAGGACAGTAAGAATTTTGTTGTTTTCAGACAGGCTGGCCTGGAATTTGCATAAAGCAGAAGATGGCCTTGAGTTCCTGACTGTTCCTTCTCCACCCACAAGTGTTAAGATTACAGGCATATGCCACCATGCTTGTGTCTCAAACACCACATGCTGATCCCCCACATCCAGGCTTCCTCAGTCTCTAAACTCCCATGAGCCATTTCCCAAGTGCTAGGATTTCAGGCTCATGCCACCATGACTGGGCAAAAAGTAAGCATTCAATTCAAAATAGAACAACAACAAAAAGGCTCCTGCATTCCAGGAGGAAGGACGACGGCCCCAGTGGTCCTGAGACAGGAAAGAGTACTGCCACCCTGCTCAGTCCACATCAGTTCAACCCTACCCATGACCGCATCCTGGGAATAATTCCACGGCCTTCTTTTCGTCACTTCAGCATCAAGTACCCAATTACCATCATCTCCACTAGCCCAGCCATCAGAGAAGAGGGATCTACCGTGCTCTATGACCACAGAGGTCTCAAGAGGATAACAACATGCTACGATGTGGAAAAGCCACACTGGCCTTGAGAATGAAACATTATACATACAGCTGTCCGTCTTTCCGGGTATAGAAGCTGACTGATTTGATGGTGGCCACGACTACCACCATACAGAGGGTCACAGGGACAAAGAGCATGATGACATGCTTGGCTCCATATTTCAATGTCAGCTCTTCATCTTCTTCCTCATCTTGTTCCACCACCTGCCGTGAGTTACTCTGGGGTCGACCGTTAGATACCGGCTGCTCAGGGTTGTCAAGTCTCCGCCTGTCATGGTGCTGGTGCCGTTCTTGACTGTCACTCTAAAAAGCACAGGAAAACCATTCAGTGAATCCCTCTCAGCACAGCCAAGGCAGTCTGTATAGTAATGGGTCCGTCAGTACTCAGGTTAGCTTACAGACAGTGTAAGGGTGTAAGGGCTTTCTTTCTAGGGCTTCTCTTTATAACCTCGGTTGTTCTAGAACTGCTTCTATAGACGAGGTTAGCCTCGAACTCCCGTCTACCTCTGCCTCCCAAGCACCAGGATCCATTATTAACAAGATTTTAAATTATACATAGTAATGTTCAAGTATCTCTCTGTATCCTTTCTCATACTGCCACATAAGACTAAAATCATTTAAAAATATTTAGTTGAGCCGGGCGGTGGTGGCGCACGCCTTTAATCCCAGCACTCGGGAGGCAGAGGCAGGCGGATCTTTGTGAGTTCGAGGCCAGCCTGGTCTCCAAAGCGAGTTCCAGGAAAGGCGCAAAGCTACACAGAGAAACCCTGTCTCGAAAAACCAAAAAAAAAAAAAAAAAATATTTAGTTGAAATAAATTCTTCCAGTCAGGCCTAATGCTTAAATCTGGCACTTGAGAGTTCATGCTGGCCTATTCTATGTATGAGTTCCAGGCCAGCCAGCATTACATAGAGGAACTCTGACTCAAAAACAAATAATCAAGCAATCTCATGGACAGCAAATGGTCTTACACAATTCTGACGTTCCATGTCCTCACCTTCCCAACCTTCACTGAGCCTGATCCAGCAGAGAAAACACGGCCACTCGATGAATGGACAATGAGTTTGCAATCTTCTAAGATCCCACTGTCCTTGGTTAAACCCAGGCAGGGGTCATCTTGTTATGCTTACTTCTAGTCTATGCTTAGGGTTAACAGCCCCTTTCTTTTGTCTGTGATGCAGGAGACTGAACCCAGGGCCTCACACCTCACACATGCTCAGCAGGTGCTCTGCCATTACCACGCCACAGTCTCAACTCCTGGCTTTACTGTGATTCTGTATGTTCATGCGTGCACATGCATGCGCGTGTCTGTCGGTCTGTGTGTCTGTGTATGTACAGGTACAAACTTGGGTCATCAGGCCTGGAGGCATGTGCCCTTATTCAATGATCCATCTCATTGACCCCTGGCTTTATTTTCTTATTTTTCAAGTTTTACTTTTGTTTTGGTATTTCCTGTTTATTTTTAGCAAATGAACTTAAATTTTGTCAATGGTAAAATGACTGAAAAGAGCATTCACAGACAGGCGAGATGGCTCAGTGGGCAAAGGCACTTGTTGGCAAACTCAACAATCTAAATTCAATTCCCTGAGACTACATGATGGAAGGGAAGAGCCAACTCCCACTGTTAATATAGTCACTGTTGGTAAGTGAAGACTGACTAAGCCAACTTCTCGCAGGATGATGATTTGAAAACAAGCTACCCTCAAATCTCAGTTCCAACTACAGAGTGTGTATTACTGTGGAGTATTACGACCATTCATTGAAAACACATTCCATGGGCAAGATGACTCAGCAAGTAAAGGGACCCGCCACCCAATGAAGCAAGCCTGACAAGCTGACTTTCAACCCTGGAACTCATGGAAAGGTGGAGGAAGAACCAACTCTACAACACTGTCCTCTGACCTCCACAAGCATGCCACGCCACGCATGTTCACACACAGTGCAGAGTAATAATAATACATCCCACGTTGAGTAACAACATCCAACTATTCCTGTGAAACAAGAACTACGACCTGTGCAAACCTTTAATTTCCAGTCACTCTGTTTATTACCATCACTTCAGAGCCGAGGAAACAGACAGCTAGTGAGTGTCAGAGGGTCTCAACCCAGGTCAGCGTGCCACCAGAAAAAAAGTTCCCCATTGCTGGGCGGTCGTGGCGCACGCCTTTAATCCCAGCACTCGGGAGGCAGAGGCAGGTGGATCTTTGTAAGTTCGAGGCCAGCCTGGTCTACAGAGCGAGATCCAGGAAAGGTGCAAAAAAGCTACACAGAGAAACCCTGTCTCAACCAAAAAACCAAAACAAACAAACAAACAAACAAACAAACAAAAAACAACCCCAAAACAAAACAATAAAGTTCTCCTAATCTACCATTTGAGAGCCAACATGGGAGTTTGGAAGACTTTGTAGACTCAGGTTCTCTTTTACTTCACTTGAGCATACCTATCTGCGGTGGTGTGACTGAAAATGTCCCCCACAGGCTCAGATGTTTGAATACTTGGTCCCCAACTGATGGTGCTGTTTGGGAGATTTAGGAGGTGTGGCCTTACTGGAAATGGTGGGGGGCAGGGTTTGAGTTTTTAAAAGCCTCTCCATTCCCACTGAACGCTCTCTCTGCTTCCAAATCCAGCCACCAAGTCTGTCTACTGCCATGCTTCCCTGCCATGATGCTGACAGACTCTAACCCTCGGGAAGCATAAACCCAAATAAACCCTTTCTTCTATAATTTGCCGAGGTCATGGTGTTTTATCACAGGAACAGAAAAGTAGTAGCTAAGATACCATTCCATAAGTCATCAGGAGACTCCGACTACATCCCAGGTACTCTCCTGTGGCAACATTGAAATCAGTAAGCGCTGGACTCTGAGCTGGGTGTGGTGGGGCACACCTACAATTCTAATTACTCAGGAAGCTGAGGCAGGAGAAATGCAAGTCTGAAGGCAATGTGGCAAGCCCCGGCCTCAAAATAAAATTTAAAAAGGTAATGTAGCTCAGTGGTAAAGCATTCACCTATCATGAGCGAGGCCTTGGGCTCAAACCCAGTACCACAAAGAAAGTCCTGGTTCTACACCCTCTGCTCTCTAAAAAGCTCCTGCTGGGCAGGGCGGTGGTGGTGCACGCCTTTAATCCCAGCACTCGGGAGGCAGAGCCAGGCGGATCTCTGTGAGTTCGAGGCCAGCCTGGGCTACCAAGTGAGTTCCAGGAGAGGCGCAAAGCTACACAGAGAAACCCTGTCTCGAAAAACAAAAACAAAAACAAAAACAAAACAAAACAAAAAAGCTCCTGCTGACTGTAGGGACAGGTCTTAAGAAAACTTTATTTGCCCTATCAGACTTGAGACTTTATCCTGTGAGCAATACAAAGTCATAAAGACTAAAGCACATGCAGAATAATAAACTTAGAAAATACAAACAGATAAAACTAGGCTTCCATTTTCCCAGAGAAGGAAGTCATCAAGCCATCAGCTAAAACTATGATGTCTGTGTTTAGCAATACAATTCTATCCAACCTGATGGGTTAATGTTCACCATGAACTAAAATAGGTGTGACTTTCTTGGCACCACAGCCCTAGCTAGCATCAGTCTGCACCAACAGTTTAATTAGGCTAAAGCTGGCATGACAGATCAAGAACTCACTCCTGCACTGGATATTCTGATTGATGAAGAGCATGACCCAAGCCTGCCCTGTTTCAAGCTGAAAATGGTCTAGGAGAGTGTGGTTTAACTTAGCAGTGAATAATTGTTTCTCTCTGTTTCTCTCTTTCTCTCTCTCTCTCTCTCTCTCTCTCTCTCACTCTTTCTTTGTATTTTCAACTTTTAGAAAAGTGCAATGTATTTTAAAGGTTAAATGGTTTTAAAGGAAGAAAATGTGAAAAAGTGTACAACCAGTTTCTCATTTTCTTTTTTAAGATTAAGGTCTCCCACCAGTCAGTGGTGACACATATCTTTAATCCCAGCACTCAGGAGGCAGAGACAGGCAGATCTCTGGCGCCCAATGTGGTGCCCGAATTTCCACATAGGGCCCGAGGAAGCTGGAAACAACAACAACAACAACAACAGAATGGATGGGGCTCCTTTGAGAGGCACTGCTGTGCAGCAGAGCACCTGAGCAGCCGGCACGCTAAGGAAGAACAGCACACTAAGTAAAAATACTTGCCACAGTGAGGACACCAACTTTCTAGAGTTGGGGAAGTTGAATGCAGCTCCCAGTTAAACAGAGCTCCCAGTTAAACATTCAACCAGGCCCACAGGCTTAAGGCTGAGGATCGGGCAGAGCCAACCACAGGGCAAAGGCCCTAGCTGCTGCTTAGCCGTTTGGCTCATGAGGTCAGAGAACGGTCCAGGTGCACAGTAAAACGGGTTACAGGGTGCATAGGTCTTGCAGGCCACAAGAATATATTATAGAGATTCAGCTGTGCATTAAAGCTATACCTTGACCGGTTAAGGGTCCTGTCAAGAGGCAAGCCATTTATTATGAATATTTGGTGCTATCCAGCCTTTAATATTCCAGCTGTCTTCTGTGAAATTCCTGCATGCTCAAATGTTTTCAGAGCTGCTGAACTTCTAGGTAACTCCCCTGCTGGAGCCAGTACCTGGATAAGGTCAGGTGGGCAAAGACAAGCTGGTGGGAGATGCATAGCTTACTTTCTTGTGCTAATGAAGCTCAGACCATCCCCCTGACCCAAGGCTCTCCAGAGCAACTGACTGAGAACAAAAGAGGTTTTTACATATCAAGGTGAGAGGTAGAATAACATTCCTGAGGAGGCCAGGGAAAGAAAAGGGAGGCATTTTCTGTGGAAACAGACAGAATGGCATGGCGAGAAAGAGAGGAGGGCAGAGGTTCCACAGGCAAAACGTAGATGAATAGAAACAGGCTAAATTAAGTAAAAGAGCTAGTGGGACAAGCCTAAGCTAAGGCTGAGCATTCATAACTAACAATAAGTTTCCATGTCTTTATTCGGCAGATGGTTGGCGGCCCAAAGAAAAGTCCAACTACAGATCTCTATGAGTTCAAGGCCAGCTTGGGCTACAGAGTGAGTTCCAGGACAGCCAAAGTTACACAAAGAAACCCTGTATCAAAAAAACAAAAACAAAACAAACCCAAAATACAAAACAAAACAATCTTAAAAAAATAAACTCTATTCAAGTCTTTTACCATTTTTCTATTACATAAATTTGTTTTGGTTTCTAAGTATTAATTTCTACTTTTGTGGCAGTGGGGGAAAGAGAAAATCTAAGCCATGTGTAGACAGGACACAGAGCAGGAAGAAAGCAGTGAAACCGGACAGACAGGTCCTGTTGTCCTGA